CCTATTTTGAATCACCCTGTATATTAGAAATCACATGATTAAGTAACATTAATCTCAGCAATTGCGAGAAATAAGAATTAACTGTATAAATTTTACTTTTTTCTTACGGCAATTTTTCTTAACATATTGCATTACTTACAATAATAAATAAAGTGTATAAGTGGATATAAATGTAAATATCTATTATTGTGAATTTATTAACAATGAAGGATAAATCATGTTATGATACGTATTATGATATAATTGTAGATGGTTATGTTCCATCATATTAATTATCTCCTAAATATGTCATATTGTAAAGCAGTTAATATATTAATTCAATAATGTTAATATATCATTTTATATAAAACTTTTATGTAGTTATGTAGTTTAAAACTTTATGTAGTTATGATCCACATTTAACTTTCTCGTTACGATCTAATAAGTAAATCGAGGTGCTTATCTTCATAGCTATTTTCCTCATTCAAGATTTTTTTATGTTACTTATTTTTATGTTACTTACAGTAGTTTATAAATTACACGACATGGCTCGACTCATGACCTTGGCACTTGATACTCCTCTACTACACCATTCGAATGCGTCTTCAACACGGAAATTATTATATAAACACGTTTCGAAGCGTTTCGATAGGAAACTGGTCAGTCTTGTAAAGGAGAGAGACCCGTTAAAACTGTAGGAGCGTAACTCCAAGGATTAGCATGAATACCTGGAACTAGTTGTTGCGATATTGAATTCCATTGTAGACCACTAAAAAGTTTTAAAATGCTTCGCAAGACTATTTCAAAAAAGTGTACCAGAAAAAAAAGCACAAATAAATAATCAATAAATATGTGTAAGAATATACAAACGTGAACGACAAAATATTGATGTATGTACAACTCGAAATGTTTTGCAGAACACTCTAATGAGTGATAAGAATACGTATGATGTAATATATTGACCATAAACAGATATGATAAAGTGGAAGCGAACCCGAGTTATACGCACGAGTCCCCTTCATTCTCATCAGAGTCTGAAATTTGTTAAATAAAGCGATGGTTATACTCGCTGCAACCGTTCCTGAATAAGCAAGATGCAAGATGAACAGGCTTGAAGAAAGATTGATTCGCGGACAAGGATTTATTCGCCAAATGGAATAATACTCCTTTTAAAGGTATTCGACAAAAGAAACTAGCGATTAAAGTAATTCCTCCTTAATAAATGAGTTCTATTGTACACACGTGCCAAATTCTTTCCAAATGAAAACAAGCATGGAGCTAATGTTGACCACTTATGCTTAATGATAATTATTTCAAAATTGTGTAAAATATTAAGAACAATTCATAGAAATTAAGTACATCTAAAAACTATGTATTTTGTTAGTTTTGTAGCAAAGCTTCACAAGATGGCTAAGATTTTCATCTTGATCACGTTGCTGTTGCATCAATTTTGTACTATGATACATATATGGTACAAATCCATGCTCGGAATACTTTACATACACGTTCAATCCTGAGACACACAATATATCAGGACAGATTGTAATTCCAACGCCACCAGAAAATACAGAAATTCATTTAAGGATAGCTTTATATAACACTGATTTGACAGTAAGTATTCCTTTTAATATTTTTTAAAATATAGGACAGAAATTTATACATATAAATTCGTAGCCATTGTTATAGACGATTTCAAATAACCTTTAACATTCTTTAAGCTCAAGATTTTTTAAAATAAAATTTGTCTAGTCAGAATCGTATAATTACTGCAATTAGTGCTTCAAAATATTACTCTTCTCTATGTCACAAGAGTGATACACATTGAAATAATCAAACTATAATTTTAAAAACGTTTTTCATTACAAAACGATTTACTTTTCTTACAAAACGATTTGCTTTATGTAAAAATATACCTATTTTTTCATATCTGTAAGTATATCAAGATAATACTAAGATCTAGTGCTGACCGGAGATTGTTTTGAATTAATTGTGACTGCAATGCTGAAAATCGCTCAAAATAGAGTAAAAAAGTCCAGTTTATAAATATGTTACTATCTTATTAATAATTAAAAATTGTTATAACCTTAACTTACTCACTGCTAACCGCGTTGTATTTTAAAACCTTTGCTATATTGGTTAATTTCATTAAAAGTCCTTATTAACAATTTATTTGAAATAGCTTAATTATCATTACGTTCCAGAAAGGGCTCATTCGATTGGAGTTGGCACGATCGTTAAAAGATACTCTCCAAGCTATCCAACAAGGGAAACCTCTGTTCTACAATATTTATTTTCCCTCAAATGAAAATTTTCCAACGATATCCGCGATATGGTTCAATAATCAACAATATTGTCTTGCCTCCGAAGGTGAGAATCGTATTTGCTTAAAGTACAATATAAATGTCACATGTATTCAAAGAAATAGAAGGAAGAACCGCAGTGTCATCCACCTTTCGAGACACACAAAGTTAGGTTTTACTCCTTTGCTATGTAATTTTCAACTAACGTAGATACACGAAGATAAAGAAAAAGATAACATTTTAAACGACAAAAATTTTCTTATGTCATCTATTTCTATTTTCATGTAAAAAAGATCTCACGATCATTCGTTGTGCTTGAAAATTATTTCTTTCCTCGGCAAAAAACATCTCTTCTTCCTCTAAAAAAAATGCGATTTAAGGGATACGTTACGTTTTGCTTTAGAGTCAAGTGCAAATGTCAGACCTACTATGGAGCTGGGACATATTGTATATCCACCGAACGAAGAGTCAATTTCACAGAATTTACAGCCGTGGCATCGAAATTCTAGCAGCTATTACGTATACAATCCGACTTACATTAATAATGATGGATGCGGTGTCACTAGCTACTACAACGATAACATAAATAGTCTGATACCCAACGGTGAGAGTATATTACCAGGTCAATGGCCATGGGTGGTGGCGTTATACACAAAAAACGAAACGAAATTGAAACATTATTTTCTTTGTACTGGTTCAATTCTAACAAACAGACATATTTTAACAGGTACGTTAAGAGACTAAAAAAATTCGATATTACAAGTGCGCTTCACCATGAAAGTTGCACTACATTTGCTACGTTTTTTGCCATCATTAGATTCTCCTCTCACTAGATACCACCTGATGTAATATCCTCAGATTGTTGTCAGAGTTTCCACCTCGAAAAAATCTTTAAACTATATCCAATATTTTATTCATTTATATCTCTCTTACTCAACGGAGATTGTATTACTACAAGAATATATTTTAAGTACATCATCTTTTTACAGCGGCGTATTGTATGAAGCTCTTTCTAATAGGTAAATTTGGATATTCCGAATGGCGCGATGTCCTTATAGTCTTTGGATTATCAGCGGAACGTAAGTTGAATATGAAAGAAACAATTACACGCAAGATGTCAAGTTATACAGTTCATCCTAGCTGGCACGAATATACAGCCGACTCCGATCTGGCGATTATAACTCTAACAAAGTCCGTCGAATACAGTCCTTTTATCAAGCCTATTTGTATATGGTCCGGCCCACCTGATCTCGAGGACCTCGCCGATAGAACAGGATATGTCGTAGGATGGGGTGAATTCGAATTTAATGTATCAAAACTCGGGGTACCACGGATGATAAGGGTGCCGATAATAAATAAGGTAAGAACTTTTATATATGTATATACAAAAAAGCGGTTTTCCGCCGTCGACGACTTTTACTCATTATGACTGTTCAATAGATGTACGAGTTGAATTCTAGTCGTTAAGTTTACTAGAAACAAAACTCGGGGATACCACGGATGAGAATCCGATAATTATTGCTCAAATTATAGGAGGACTGTATCGCGAGCGACTCGCGTTTTTCCTACTTCATTTCGAACCGTACTTTCTGTGCCGGTTTACGAGATGGTCTTTTCGTGAATGGCTATTGCGATGCAGATATCGGAAGCGGGATGGTGTTCTTCAACGCTGTCACAGGCCGTTACGAGTTGCGTGGCGTCACCTCGAAATCGATACATCGTGCTGGCATATGTTTTAGCAAGCAATACGTCATCTTTGTCGATGTAGCCAAATACGTATCCTGGATTCGAGACCAGGTCTTCAATTCATAACGTTAGTTCCTTGTTGCAGAACATGAAATATGCTAGTTGACAAGTGTTTCATATAAAATAAAGAAACAATAGCTCGAATGATAAAAGTCAAACAATAAAAAGAGAGGGCTCAGAGCCTAGACAGGATGGTATAGTGTCAGAGAATTTTATTACATAAAAAATGTATACGGTTCGATAGCAAACTAGACCATCTTCAGTATGAAATAAAGTTAGAACATTGATATGCGAATAATACAAAAGTAAAATTACATTATCCGTGAAATAAAATATGAAGTTAGTTATTGGAACGAAAGTACATTTAAAGAGTGTAAATCGCAGTACATTTTAATAAAAGCTGTAACAATCAAAGTCGAATTGAAAATTAATGCTATGTGAATCGAGAAAGAAAAGAGGGAAAAAAGAAGATACGTACTTGGAAACATTTTTCATCTAATAAAATTCTCTGACACTACCATCTTGTCTAGGCTCTGAGCCCTCTCTTTTCTATTGTTTCGTATAAAATTTGTCCAAAACCACGGCACTTATGAAAAATGGTAATTACTGTTACGAGTTTGACTGTGATTTTTTTGTTATATTCTTCAATTATAATACATTTATTACGACAGTAAAATAAGATGCAAAGTAAATGTAAGTGTAATTATCTATCATTGTGTGTACACTATAAATAATAAGAATAAATCGTGACTTGTTATAATGTCCTTGTGGTACTTTGATAAAGAAGAGAAAAGATAAACATACCGACAGTAAAAAAGCGGAATAATAAAGTGAAAGCAGACAGTTGTATGTCAGAACGTTGATTTTCATCAGAGTTTAAAATTTGTTGAACATAAAGTGATAATTATATTCTTGCCACAACAATTCCACAATTGATTAATAATCAAGATGCAAGATAAAGATGTGTTCTCAGAATGCGAAAAATTAGTATGTTTTTGCAATATCATGTTTTTAAATGATGATGGATTTAAATGGTGAATGTTAAAGTACGTCACGTCATTGGATTCTGCGCATGCGCAGTTTCGTCTTGGTGAAACTGTGCATTGATTCGCAGGCAAAGGTCCATTCACCATATGGAATAGTGCTCTTCTTTAAAGTAATCGATTAAAAGACTAATTAGTGATTAAAGTGACTCCTCCCAAACACGTCAATTCTGTTGTACAATTCGCGGTCGGGAATTGTGTATATTTAAATAATTACTCGTTTACCGTGCAGAGTTGATGTTTCTTTGAACAAAAATCAGTGAGTTTTCATGCAAGAATGCTGTGGAATTAACGAGAAAGTCAAACGTATTAAAACTTTTCGTTTTACTGGATCCGTATCACATTCGCTATTGACTCTATATCGCTCGCTACATCGCTCGCATTAATAGATTCTCTGTTTATTAATATAAATTAAAACGTCCGCCGTTTCGTTTGAATCTCAATTGGATTTATGTAATAATATCTCTTTTTTTTAACAATTTCGGCTGAAAAGATTATTTCTCCTCGAAGTGAGTTGTTTTACAAAATTAAATTTGAATCGCTTAACTCTTTTAAAATATAATATTTAATTAGACTGGTCAAGGCAAATTGATATGAAATATTATAATCGTCATTAAAACAGAAATGATCATACCAGTTAGAAAGTAAATAAAATTACAGAAATGAAATTATCTCCGCTGACCCTCTTGTGACGTGTTCAATTATAGATAAAGCATTTGACCGTTTTTCACGAGTTATCCAGCAAAGAATAAATACAGTTCAGTAATAATTATTGGTGTGTTAACAATTATTGCAATAATTATACAAGCATTTATTAATGTTTAAATGTACTTATATGCAGTTGTATAAAATCTTACAACACAATTAAATTAATTTTGTCAAGAATATAACTTCACATTAATGAAATCTATCTTGTGTCACGAATAGCTTACATTTTCAACTCTATTATTGATCTAAAGAAATAGATACAAATATATACAAGATCCAAGGATAAACAGAGACTAGCCGATCTATGTCGACAACGTTTCCTAAGATCTATTAAATTACTTAATGTTACGGAGTTAAAAAAATTACAAACGCATTATAATGAGAAAATTCGTGCCATTTTATAGGAAAAAATAATTTCAGTTTCAACAATAAACTATGTATACTATATGGACTATAGTTCAAGTAAATGTTCTGTTATTTAAAAGGAATGAATTTATCATATATTTTATTCTTAATTTTTTAGCCTATTTGATTTATGATCTATCAGTTTTCCTGTGAAAAAACCATTAAGCTAATGTTGATCACTTGTTTAATGGCAACTATTTCAAAATTGTGTAAAATATTAAGAACAATTCGTAGAAATTAAGTACATTTAAAAACTATGTATTTTGTGCTGTGTTTTTGGGTTGTAGGATTTCAAATAACGTAACAACTTGTGTGACTAACTCATAACCTCCTTCTTTATTCTGCGCTCAGTTACGCGCCGCCTACACAACCTCTCGGCCTCCCGCTCAACGATACCAGCGCCCTCTCCTTAACGGAGCCTTGACTACTTATCTATCATATATGTAATACTACATTTTGTTAGTTTTGTAGCACAGCTTCACAAGATGGCTAAGATTTTCATCTTGATCGCGTTGCTGTTGCACCTATTTTGTACTACGATATATGGTACAATTTCGTGCTTGGAATACTTCACATACGTTATCGAGCCGAAGACACGCAATGTAATAGGACAGATCGCAATCCCATTTCCGCCAGAAAATAATGGATTTCATTTAGAAGTAGCCTTAAATACTACCGCTGATTTGGCGGTAAGTATTCTTTTTAATATTATTAAAAATGTAGGAAAGAAATTTAAATATATAAGTTCGTGGCCATTAATATAGTAATTTTGAATAAGTTTTAACATGTTAAAGCCTTTTGAAATAAAATTTGTCAAATCAAAAACTTGTACAATTAGTACTGAAATAGAAATAAAATTACTTTTTGCCTTGAGAGAAGTACACATTGAAATAATCAAGATATAATTTTGAAAAAGTTTTTCAATAAAATGGTTTACCTCCTGTAAATATTGAAATGTATGAAGCAATTTTCTCTGGATCTTGTATCTATAAAATATTAACAAAACAAAGTGGAAGATACAGTTTAAAACAAATTATCGAGAAATAATTTAAAGGTTTAAAATTTGTCATCTGTTAATACTATTTACAAGATAAATCGAAGTAGTTACAAATAAATAGTAAAAGATAGGCTTTAAATTAAAGATTATTACAACGTCAACTTACGCACTGTTAACCGCGTTATAATATCAAAACCCATCTTGTACTTAATTTATTAATTTTACTCGTGAATCTTTAGTTATTCCTTCACTTAAATTATTAGAAATAACTTCATTATTATTGTGTTCCAGAAAGGGATCTTTCGATTAGAATTGGCACGATCGATAAAAGATTCCGTTCAAGCTGTTCAACAAGGGAAACCTTTGTTGTATCATGTTTATTTGCCCGTGGACGTAAATCTCCCGATAGTATCCGCAATATGGTTTAACAGTCAACAATACTGTCTAGTTCCTGAAAGTGAGTATCGTATTTGCTTGAAGTATAATATAAATGTTACATATATTCGAGGAAATAGAAGCCAGAATCACGGTAATCTATAATTTCGAGTTACATCAAGTTAAATTTTACTCTTATCTGACTATATAATTTCCAGCTAACATAATGAAGATAAACAGAAAGATAATACTCATTAAAAGTTTGAATTTCTTTTCTCATCATTTTCTATCTTCGTGTAAGAAAAATCTCAATCATTCATTGTGCTTGGAAATGATTTCTTTCCTCGGTAGAGAATAAAACTATTCTTCCTCTAAAAGAACATGAGATTTGAGAGACATGTATGTTACATTATGCTTTAGCATCAAGCGAAAATACCAAAGCTACTATAGAGTTGGAACATATTGTGTATCCGCCAAACGAAGAGCCTTTGCAGAATTTCCAGCCACGGCATCGAAATTCGACAAACTATAGCATAGACAACTCGACTTACGACCATCTCAATAATTTGAGGCATTCTAAACGCACTGTTTCCACCCCTTTTAATGAGATTGCCAAGAACACATTGTTGAATCCAACCCTGGGTCATTCAATCCAAAAACGCAACACCGATAACATTAGCAATAATAATAACGAATGCGGTATCACCAGCTACTACAATGACAACATAAACAGTCGGATCTCAAACGGTGATAACGTATTACCAGGCCAATGGCCGTGGATGGTGGCACTCTACCTCTTGATACCAGACGAACAAGTGAACCAGTTTAAGTGTACTGGTACCGTTTTAACAACGACCCATATCATAACAGGTATGTTAATAAACTGAGAAAAGAAATTCGATATTACTAGTGCTCTTTGAGCGATGTTGAGCTCCTCGTCCTGCAGCTGCTATTCCTTTTCCATATTCAATTGTTTCATGATATTCAAATCAGTATACGATAATGTGATGTTTATTTTGTGCTAAAAAGTTAAAAATGAGTCAATAATGGTATTCTTATCTCTTTCTTTAAATCTTCTTTTCAAAATTTAAAATGTATTTCATATAAATCCTTAAAGCTTTCAAAAGGGTATTCTTGAAATATTGCTGGGTCTCATATTTGGTTATTAATTATTTTCATCAGGACATTCAGAGAATATCGTAGGATTGAAGGAAGTGTTTACATGATATCTGTTTCTCATCCTGTTTGTTCTCTGAATTTCCTGAGGATATCCTTGTGCAATCCTTTGCTCATCCTTGTGAGTAATTTATTACACACTTTCATTAGATTCTTCGTTTATTAAATACAATTTGATGTAATATCTCTAAAATATATTTAATGTATATTTTTCTTTTCCAATATAGATTGTGAATTATTAAAAAATGTACTTTATGCATATCTTCTTTTTACAGTGGCGCATTGCTTGAAGTGGCATTTTTACGGTAACGCTACTATAGACCCCGATTATTTGTATGTAGCCTTCGGATATTTCGATTCAGATCTGTGGTTTGATAGGGGAACAATTAATCGCGGAGTCGCAAGTTATAAGCTTCATCCCGACGAGCAGTGGCGTAACGCCGATTCCGATCTGGCGATCGTGACTCTCAAGACGCCCGTCGAGTATAACCCTTTTATCAAGCCTATTTGCCTGTGGTCCGGTTCAACTAATCTTGACGATATTATCGGTAAGACAAGCTATATCGTGGGATGGGGCAAAGACAAATTAGGCAAGCGCAACACCGGGGAAGCACGGATGGTAAGGCTGCCGATAGTGAGTGAGGTAAGAATTTTGACGAGAATCCGTTTGCTACCTTCCGCGAAATCCGTTCTTTGTGACTGTTAGATCGACATGCGAGTTAAATGCTAATCCCACAAAGTTCTCCAGAAACAAAACGTTCGGACACCTCGACGACAATTCTGATATTTATGTAAAATGCCTAAGAGATTTTTGTGTGTCAAAATTATTGCATGCCTCGAGTTGCATTAACGAATGCGCCAATTACGTTCAAATTGATAAGCTCGAACATCACGCGATAAGAATGTAAATTTTTTTTTAATGCCTGGAATAGTTCAGAATAATTTCAAAATTAACGATAAACGTCGAGTCGACGGATTTCGCGCTATTGTAGAACCGAATGATAAAAATCCGATTTTGTCGGGTGAATTACAGGAGGTCTGTCACAGGAGTCATTTGACTATTGAAACTATTACCTCGAATCGTACTTTCTGCGCGGGTTTTCAATACTCGTGGAATCCTTGCAACGCTGACAGCGGAAGCGGGGTGATGTTCTTCAACGCTACCACGGGCCGTTATCAGTTGCGCGGCATTGTTTCGCGATCAGTAGGTGAATTGTGTTCCGGGGAATACCTCGTCAGTGTCGATGTGGCCAAATATTTACCCTGGATTCGAGAACAGATCTCCACATAACGTTAGTTCCTCGTTGCAGAACGTAAAATATGATACTTGACGAGCTTATTGCATAAGATTTATCCGAAGCCACAAGTAGTTATACAACAGAAGTAAGAATTAAAGTTATAAGTTTGATCTTTGACGTTTTACGGCAATTCTTAATATAATACATTTATTACAACTGCAAAATAAAATGTATAAGTGGACATAAATGTATCTCAGACAGTTTATCGACTTATTAACAATAAAAAATCGTGTCATGACACATGTTATAATACCTTGATGTGCATATCCAATGTTCTGTCATATATCGCATCACCTAATCGAATGCTTCGTGAACGTCTTGTAAAAAATTATAGAAAGTACAAAAGTATTACTGACTCTCTTTAACTTTAATAAAGTTATTAACTCCAATGTCACTGGATAATTCTATTCGTGACTATTAGAGATATGCAAAATCTTTCCGAGTCTCAAATCTTCTCATCTTTTCTCATTTGTTTCACGATATATTTTTGAGAGTATTACACGATCATCAATGATAAATACGATATCTCATCTTTCGATTATATAACAATGAAAATTTCATGCATCATTGGATTTTCTCAAATCACAATCACAAAATTAAAATTATTTCAGTTCTCTCATCTCTCACACTTCGAGTCCATTAAATTTTCGCCGACTTCAATAAAATATTTGAAATTTATCATATATCTTACTTGGAAACACATGTTTTCCTGCAATAACTTCTATATTTTTCTCATTTGCTGTCCTTAAAATCATAAAATTTATATGAATAAAATTATATAAACTATTCCTATGAAACAAATCGAATGCTAATACATCATTTTTATATAAAACTTTTAGCTATGATAAATTCTCGCACAATGATAAAACGTATCAAATTTAATGCATATTTATCTCTAGATAATACAAAGTGCAATTGAAAGAAAATATCATAGGTATAAAGATGTGTAAAAATAATTGTTTATATCATAAAATTATGTTCTTTATTGTCCCTTGTCATTGCAGACAGTAAGCAAAATTTCCGTTTCGAAAATAAATCACTAAAGAATGGATAGGCCCATAACAGGGATAAAAATATAACAAAATGTAACCACATTTTAGACTTAACTCGTGTCAGGTTGAAAATGTTGTCGTGCAACCGCGCCTAATACAATTTCTGCACTGTACACACCTGTAAAATTGTAAATAAGAAAAATTATTTTCAGTACAATATCTGTCACGATTAAATAATATCAACTCCATTTTTATTTTTCTCTTTTTTTATAATCAACTTTCTTTGTGCAGAAAGAACGAGATAATAAAATATCAACAAAGCTGGTTTGATTACTTACTAATATTTGCACGTAAGACATCGGAAAGTAGATGGAGGTCATTGTCATGGGTCACGATAATATAACTTAATTTTCCGGCATTCATCTCTTGTATTTGAGCGACTGATCTACGTGTCTTCTCCATTACACCTCCAGCACTTTCTATTATTTCCGCAATTGCCGAAGGAGATGGTATCACACTCGGTGTAACATAAAATGTTTTACCCTATTTGAGTGGAAAATTAAGAAAGTATTAAAAACAAAATCATATTTCTATCTGCATTTAGAATATTGCCAGTGTTAATTGTACAATTACAAAACGATCTATATAAAGCCTAATCTACAATGTGCTCTTTACGTCTAGAAACATTCTATTTCGTAGTCGATAAATACATTTAAAAAATTTGCGCAAGTGGCTAAATTGTATATCATACACTATACAATCGTACATAGTCGACAATTCTTTTAGGCGTTTCGATTCGTTTATATAAAATAGAATGTTTCTAGATGCAGAGAGCACGTTGTCGATTAGACTTAACGAATACAATCCGTTACCTTAAGTACTGTTCCTCGATTGGGGCTCGCTAAAGTTTTTTCGATATTGCAGTTAAAGTTTTTCTCAAATTCTGGATCACCGAGCATGTATGCACTTTCATCCACAAAAGTGTTTTTTGTAGAACATTCGAGTAGCCATTGAAGACTGACGATAAATTTACATCGAGACAAACAACACAATAATTTCACCGTTCGTAATGGTGCTGACATTACAAGATGAGTGGCATCTCGCCAGCTAGAGGCTAAAGCGCCCCCCAACTCTCGAATTCTCTAAAATATTATAGACTTTATTTAAAAAATTATAGCAGTAGAACACTACAATTGTAATGATAAATTACACAACTAGTAGATTTCAGTAACTATAAATATAAAGTTAATACCTCTTAGCGTGCGTGCAACAGTAGATATTTTTGGGTTGTTCGGAAAGGTTGTGCGGTTAGAACATAAATAAGACGTAGGATATAAAGATAAAACTGGAGACGCAAACTGGAGAAATGCCAAAAATGTGAGAATGGGGAGAATTATGTTGGAATAACATGGAAGCTCTTTAAGCAATGATGGCCGAGAAGGGACTATAGGTCGAATGCGACAAGATAATAGAAATGATAGTGCAAGCGTTAAGCAATGACGTATATTAAATTTAATTTAAAAAAATAAAGTTTAATTAAAAAAAAATTGTGCCTTTTTATAATTTCGGGTATTTGAAAAAGCCAAATGGCATTTATACCTTGGCATGATTTTTAGGGTTTATACCAGAAAATAGTATTCTTGGTTGTTCATCGATTGACGGAGGGTTAGGATTGCTAAGAACGATCTGTTCATCCTGACATAAAAGATGCGAGTCCTTATTCAACAATGGGCCATCCAGGCGTGGCTTTTTGTATTGTCTGATCGAATTTGGACCCTGACCAACCTGTTTTACCTTATCATACGAGTCTTGTGTAATATTTATTGGCATCTTCCAAGCAGCTAGAATCAGAAAATTCAATACGAGTAAGTAACGACACAAGTTACGACGTTTAATTGTAAATATATTATTGTTTCTTATAATCTAATAAGTAAAAATTACCCATGACATGAGGCACTATTGAATAATCTAGTCTGAAAGGATTACTCAAACTGAACTGTTGATACTTTTGACTCTCAACTTGATGTAAAGCATTCATCTGTCCGCAAAGTAAATCAGTCAACCACTGTGCATTTACAACGCTGGTTTGCCACTCGCGTGCCTTTTTGTATTTCTGTCCATCTGGCCTAAAGTTCATTTCAGTATATAATTATTGTATAAAACTCAAAAGGTTATTAAACTGTCAATTAATGGCACAAAAACATTACACGTTTATAATAAATAACACGTTTAAAATATCATTAAAACAGTCGAAGAAATATATATACCTTCTACAAATAAGAAGGGTATTGTGCCTGGAAAAGTAAGTCGTGTACTTTGCACCCAAAGCTTCTAACATAAATTTGACTTTTGCTCGTTCTTCTCCCTCAAATCCAGAAAAGGATATGATTTGTTTGCCACATGGAAGCTCATTTAAGCTGAACGGCGTTGGAAAGTGAAGAACATGCCAAGGTGGGAGTAACTGCTGCTTACTGACAACGTCAGAAAGCCAATGTGCGCTGACGCAACGTTTTCCCTCGCGTAACGCTTGCACCACAGTTGTATGTTTCTGTGTGATGGCTAGCACATGCGTCGCTCGACCACAATACTGCGACTCCACCTCGCCGCCATGTCTTTCAATAACTTGTTTCCAAACTGCAACTTCAGTGGGACGTTGCACGTCGTATTCGACAATGACGAAGAAACATCCTAATAGAAATAGATGTGGCGGCACTGAAAATACGCATATTATTCCATCATTGATAACAATATGACAATGCCAGGTGTATACATAAAACTAACAAAGCTTTTAAAATAATTCTATTACTAATGTTGCATAAAATATTACCTATCCATTAAATAATCTTATGATACAGCAATGACAAACAAAGAAAAATATATAGAAACGTACGTTTCAGATTTGGATTGTGACCGTAAAACTGAGCCTTAGATTGTGGCATGACTGGAGCATATTGCATCTTTAGAGATGTTCCTGGTGGTGCGCCATTCGTTATATTCCCCAGAGTCCTCCTCTGATAAGCGGCCAAGAGTTGCGGGTCTTGTGAAGGCGGGGGTGGAGGTCGGTGCTGTGCAGTCATCAATCTCAACTGACCAGCCGCGCTGCCCTCGGCAGCACCGCCTTGTAATCTGTTGGTCAGCATATTTGCTAGCGCAGTTTTTGTTTTAGGGTTAACGACAAGCTGCTGATCCGGTGGAATTTGTGCGTTATTTGGCAGGGGCGTTAAGGACGCATCTGGCTGCACGCCTTGCTGCTGCTGTTGCTGTTGCTGTTGCTGCAGTTGTTGCTGAAAGTGTCTAATCATATGATGCTGCTTCTGTAAGGATAACTGCGCTATCTGCTGAGGCGTCAACTGTCCATGTTGGAATGTTTGGCCTGTTTGTGGTACTTGTGGGCCTTGAACGGCCTGACCGGCTGACACAATGACTTGATTGGAAGAGTTTATTGGAGTTAATGCTGGTGGCTGTACGCCGGGATGTACCGGCTTCTGTCCTGGAGTTTGCGCGAGTTGCGGTCCCATCATCTGCGGTCGAGCTTGCTGAACCCACTGTAAACTACCTGGCTGGACTGGTTTACCAGGACTCCTTATAACGGCGATGTGGGAGCTTGGCTGCCCCTGGCGATTCTGCATTTGTCTCTGCAATATCAGGTTCCGCTGCTTTTGAATCTTCTGGATAAACTGTGCCCTCTGCTGCGGGTCCATTTGCTGCAGTTGCTGATGTGTCTGCGCGTCCAAATGAATCAACTGTCGGGGAGGTTGAGCCGGCTGAGGCGTTTGTGGACTCCATTGGCCTCCAGGCCTCTGAGGCCCGATCGTTTGTTGCTGTTGCCTTTGCAGCTGCAAGTGGTATTGCTGCTGCTGCTGCCACTGCTGTGAGTCTCGCTGAACGATAAAACCTTGTTGATTCGGTCCGATTAACTGCTGGTTTGGTGGCTGTTGTTGTAATTGACCGTCCCTTATGACAAACTGTTGAGAGTTTTGCGGAGCAGATTGTTGCAGTTGCTGCGAGATCTGTTGTATCTTCTGCTGTTGCTGTTGTTGCAACAAAATCAGTTGCCTTTGCTCGGGAGTGAGTTGCTGCGGCGGAGTCTGTTGTTGAGCCAATTGATGCTGGCCTGCCAATTGTTGCTGTTGAGAAGGTAGTTGCTGCTGCTGCATCACTATTTGTTGCTGCTGCTGTTGAGGCGCCAATGGTACTTGCTGTTGCTGCTGCGTCAAATGTGGCTGCTGAGCCTGTAATTGTTGTTGCTGAATAATTTGATGTTGATTCAATTGCTTTTGTTGCGACGTTAATAATTGCTGTTGCTGTGTATTCAGTTGATGCTGAGATAATTGCGTATTTATCGGTTGTTGCTGTTGTTGAGGCATTATTGATTGCTGTTGCCCCACTAGTTGTTGTATCTGAGGCGATTGCTGCTGACTTACAAGTTGTTGGTTGTACGATGGCTGCTGCAGCTGTTGTTGATGTTGCGCGAGCTGTTGCTGCGTTAATTGCTGCTGCTGTATCAATTGATGTTGCATATTCATTTGCTGCTGTTGCTGCTGCTGCTGCTGCGGGGACAGCTCTTGCTGTTGCATTTGTGACGATACAGTTTTCACTTGCTGAGAAATGTTTTGCTGAGATGTCTGTGGAAGCCAATTTGCTTGATTAATTACGTCCTGATCGGAGACCGACGGGGCAGCTGTGGAAGTGCTCAAGTTGGTCGAGGAAACCGATCGTGGAAGATGCTGCTGCGGCTGCATATTCACGGTATTTTGCCCGTTCGTCGAATACGGAACCGTCGCGGTACTCGTCGCGCCGAGGCTGTGCGAAGCACCCGAGGACACCGGTGGACTCGGCTGATTCCACGGCATGCGCTGCTTCAATTGCTCCAACACGGCCTTAGTCCTGTTTTGCTCCTCTTGCGCAACATTATTATCCGTGTCTTCGTCCATGAATCCAGTAATCATGGCGGTCGAGCTATTTGGCGGCACTAACAGCCTAGGGTGATACTCCACTTCGCTAACGAGAGTGCCCTTCTTGCAACATTCAGTTATCCAGTCGGGTGTTACGATGGATATGCGGTGTCTCGCAGCAGCTTCATACTTCACACCGCTTGCTCTGCCCGCAACCAGGTGAGTGCAATATCTATCCAGGTGTAGCTGACACTTGCCCCCTTGCAATGTTATCATCGCCCATAGGGACTTGCTGTCTGTCCGACTTACCTGAGACAGGCAGACGCGTATGTTCGAGAACAACTGATTCTCTTCTGGAGAGAAATACTGCGTTCTATTTAAAAATAAGTTCGTTAAAGAAATATACGTTCCGTCATAAATGATCTATCTCAAAAAGCTCTTTAAATGAGCAGACTTTTCCTTTCTATAATATATATTTGCACGTCTCGTCTCGAAAACTTGCGTCGAAGTGTTCCAATTTCTTATTTAGAATATGCAAACGTATAAATAAAAATTATAGTTAGAAATAGATAATTTCATTATCGTAAGTGCTGACGTGTTTGCTAGTGTGTACAAAAATTAATATTAAACTAACAGTCTTATTGTAAAAGGATACGGCAGAAGCTTATTGCATTTTACAGAGTACAAGATCCAGTCTTGCGTGACTGCTGGTATCTGATATAGATCCTTCGCCTCCGAAATATCATTTTCTAACGCTTCATTGCCCGCAATCAGATGCGTAACGAAATCGCTAAAATAATTAGACCTCTCCGCTCCACCTTCTTGCAATAAATTCAAAATCTGCAAAAGTATTGCCTACAATTAATAAACTATACCGTCTAAAGTCGGGCGCGTAAATCCAACGTAATTCCGCGTTGCCATTTTAAATATTAAAAGACAAGCTATTACGCGAGAGGGAAGCGAGTCCAACGACAAGACGACATTTGTACGACATGGTGCGCCGAATTATAACCTCAGTTGAAACCCGAAGTTTTACATCAGTTTCGTAGCGAAGGGAAAAAAAGAGCACCATAGCCCTCGGGGGAGTCGCGCGATCAGCTGCGACAGCGATGAGTCTCAGAGCTGTTCGATCCGTCCGGGACGGGAAAAAACGCGGGAAACAAACGGGTGGTGCAACGTACCTTCGGGTCGGCCTCACCGCTGACGTAGTATTTAACGTTGGCAAACGGAACACCGTCGAGCTTCAGGTCCTCGAGGCCAGCGCGTATGTCGCCCATCCTGCCGTGATAGCCCACGAGCTCACGTTTACGGCATCACAACGTCGCTGCGTATCCGCGCAAGATCCTGTTCCGCTGCGATGTGACTCCGCAGTATTTGATAACAAAAGTCCGTCGCGACGCTTTTGTTATTATTATGATTGCAGGTTATGTCGTGGAGCGCCTTGCGTGGCGCTACGCTTGACCCGCGCGCCACACAGCTCCCAGCGGCGGGCGATTCGAATCCGGAAGCGTTGTCGCTTTGCGAGAAAATTTCTGAGATTGAAAAACAAAAAAACAATAACAGGAACAATTCGCAGTTGCAACTACTGTGACGATTTTACTGTCGATTTGCTATTGACGCAAGAGAGTAGCGAAAATAAAAATTGGCAATAACATGAAAATTACTATGACAGATGTAAATTCGAGATATTTTTATAACTTAAGATTTCATTTCAATTTGTAAGGAAGTCCAGGTTCAAACCCTGGCTGAGGTATTTTTCGCAATAAATTTTCTGTATTATTAAAATTTCCAGATATGGTCAATAAAACACTCATGTTGTTAATTAGTGCTGGCGACTTTTAAGAATATTCTTATTAGTTAAGATTTCATACTTCAACATGGGAGCTTAATATTCTAAGATAGAAGTAAAAATCAGATATTATATTAAAATTAAGATAAAAGATGTAAAGAGTATTTTAATATGGGACTAATATTTTTTAAAAGTATAGAATGGGTTAGTTTTTAGACTCATATCTTGTTTCTCATGCAAATATAGAAATTCTACTCTCTCAGCAGGAGTAATTTTGAATACTAAATTAATTTAATTAAGTTAATTAAAAATTTCCCATATGTTATAATTCATTGATGAAAACTTGGTAAATTTCAAAACCTCATCTCTTGTATAAAGAATAGGATATTAATGTAAGAAACAAAAACAATAAAAAGTGAGGGTTTTTAGTATAAACTGACATCTTAAATCTCAGTAAAAATAGATATTAATTGTATCATTTTTCCACAGTTTCGGTGAAATAGTATATTAAATGATAAATTTATTAAATTAGTAGAGGAAAGTCCTCCGTTATAGAGATAGCGGAGTTTCCGCTAAATTAATAGGCATCATCTGTTGGTTTCACCACGAATTTATTGCTCTTGGAGTGAAATTTCTCTGTCTAGTGGAAAATTGATTGTTAGATCGTGTAATCGTTGCGAAAAAAGATTTGTGATTGAATTTGGATATTGAAAATATCCAATCACATAATCGAGGACTTTCCTCTATATTGTTTTGTCTAATTTTGACTAATTCGTCTAGTTTTAATTGTAAAATATATATATCGGGTTACTTATATGATAACAAACAGTGTGTTGAAAAATTTACGATAAACTGATTGTGAAACAGTTGCCAAAGTTATTGCTCGGGGATTAGGGTATGATAATTGCGACGTTTGAAAACATTTGCTTTATTGTATGTTCCTTTCGCCCGCACATTAGGTACATATCAGCATCTAAAATGCTTCTCTCCTTGTAATCCAGTAAAATTCACTCTTGCACTAACTTTTATATTTTGTATCTCCTACTCCTCTCTCCATAATCTTACTCTCTTGCATTCGCTCTTCTTCTTTCGCTCATAAATAAATAAATTATCGGCTAATATGTACAAGATCTTAATAGTTCTCTTTTTCTTACTTTAATAATCATTTGTCGCTTAATAGACGTATCTTGTAAAGACTCTAGAAATATTGAGCTTGGTCTGGTCAGTATACGTAATATATTCTCATGAAGTGCTGTCGCTTCAAATTATATTTATATCTCTCTGTTTATATCTTCCTCTTTCTTTCACGCTTTTTCTGTTTTTTTTTCTAAAATTATTTATTCCTCCTCTCGCTTCGTACAACCGACTAATATCTCCGTTCGTTTGTGGTGCAGCTTTTCAGGAATATGATTGAATTGAATAAATCGGGGAGGAGAGCGTAGAGAAGAGTGCTTGGACAGTGCCAACAAAATGGCCGAAAGATACGTATATTTCTGAAAATGCAATGGCGTTTGGGTACTATGTTGCGCGGCATTTTGGCCCAAGTTTTAATTTTTGCCCACTAGAAAATGTTCCAATTCCCGTTTAAGAAGCCCCCTGCAGGTCACAATTCTTGCTATTGATACATAGCTACTCTGAGATATCTTGTACATTCAGGATGTCTGTATAAGAGAAGAGTCCTGAATATATCCCATGTATATTTCCTCAGGCACACCAGTGAATATTTACAATTCAATGTACGTTTGAGAGAAATCAACTCATTTAAGCTAGTTATATCTGCGCCAGGACACCGCTTATAATAGAAAAGAAGAAAAGAAGCCAAGACGAAGGCTGAAGAAGGAGGCGAGAGGACTTGTTTTGTACGCGAGATAATATCGGCGCGACGCAAGGAGAAAATTATACAGGGTCGCCGATCCGTCGAGCTGGAGACCTATCACAGATATCGGAAATTGAAGTAGATGAAAAACGGATTAAAATAGGGAGAAAGAAGTGTCAGAGACGTCCCACGAGATCGGACTACATCATAGTCTCGTTGCAGCTGGTCATACTATCGAAGTCTACCTGTGAATACGAGCGATAATCGTGTTCGCAAAAAGCTGCACTACCGCCAGACCCAGCCAGCGGGTTGCACCATCCGTCGGAGCGTATCGTGTTCGTGAGGTAACACAGTATTTCTAGAATCTCATTAATGCGCTAGGAACCCGGGCTGGCGTTATCGCCGCTTCTTCTCCTCGCCTCGAGCTGCTTCGCCAGCAGGGCGACCTCCCAATTGTTGTACCCGTCCTGGCAGATCTTGCCAGCGTCGTCCCCGTCGTCGTCGTCCTCCTCCTCCTCTTCCTCCTCCTCTTCGTCCTCCTCGTCGCCCTCATCGCTGTCGCCCTTGCGACAGCGGCTGCTGATGTCAAATTCCTCGTCCGACCTGCTGTCGCTGTTCGATTCGAGGTCGATCGCAATATCCTCCCTCGACAGTCTTTGCGGCACTATCGAGTTCGGCAGCTCCTGCAACTCCAAGGTTTCTCTCTCCGAGTGCTCCTCCCACGATCGCCTACTGCGCGAGCTCGAACCTACCGACGAGGACGAGCGCCGGTCGCGGGGCCGCGCGGACCCGAGGACAGTGTCCACGGAGCTGTCGCGCATGAAAGGATGATCCTCGCGATCGTCCTCGAGATCCTCTTCCAGAGAGGCGTCGTGCTCGGTGCTGTCCCCGCCGGAGTCGTCCGCGCCTCGCGCCAATTTCCTTCGCTCCATCTCCTGGATCCGCGACTGCAGCTGCGATATTATGTCGTCACGCTTGCGGACCTCCAACTCGAGCGACGTGAACTGTCGCTCGAATTTGTTCTGCATGTCCTCCTGCAACGTCAAGAGCGGCGGTATGATTAATCGGGACAACCGCCACGTGTCACACGGTAATGAGGAACTTCTGCGAGTTGGATAATTGATGAGCTTGATGGACGTACATCTGCCGGCGATGAGTGCCGAGTTGGAGACTTTGGGAAACACGCTTGGACGGGTTTAAATTCACAGAATTACAACATGAGTATGACCTCTTTTTAGCTCCACGAGGAAAGAAGAGGTAATGGCAGATTTAAAACAATTTTTTTATAAATTATTGGTAAGAGAGAGAGAGAGAGAGAAAGAGATCGTTTTAACTTATTTCCGCCGATAGACAGATTATTTGTACTGTCAATAAATATCGATATCGAGAGTATTGTCGAGGGCGTCTCTCGTGTCTCTAACGAGAGCCGGTCCTTTGACAAAGGCACTCTCCCGCGTGGTGACAGGAAGCAGTACACAAAGCTCGTCCATTGAAAGCGGGGGACAAAGGAAACGGCAGTCGCGTGCGCGCGCGCCTCTCTCTCTCTCTCTCTCTATCTCTTCACTCACCAGGCCCGCCTTGATGACCTCGCCGATCCCGGAGAGCAATTCGCCCAGGCACTCCTCCTCCCGTGACCGGGACACCGTTTGCAGGACACCACCGGCACTGCTCACAGGACGGAAACTGAATTTATTGGGCGGCGGCAGTGACGGCTGATCCTGGGTGTCGGGCAGCGGGTAATTCGACGGCGGCTGTAGGGGCTGCTCGGACGGCGGGCTCTGCAGCGTGTACTTGTTGAAGGTCACGCTCTTGGACAGCTTCGAGTGCCGCGCGGCGTAGCCCTCGATCGTCGGCGCTCTCATCAGCCTCCTCAGCTCGGCGGTCGCGGCCTCGCGGTCCGGCGTGCTCGTCGCCGAGGTCTCGGAACTACCGGCCCTACTGCTGGCCGACAGTTTCTTCAGGATGCTCTTCAGGTTCCGCCTCTCAAGTGTCTCGTTCTCCGGCGACAGCTGATCCGCCGCCGACGAGGACGCCGCTTGTCGATCCTGTTATAAGACAAAAGTTTTAATTAAAGGAACTCGGTGTTAAACAAATATAATTATATCATTACACAATTAATGTATTACGCATAAATTACAGTCCATCTTCTACGTTTATTATATTAATGATTATCATTCAGAAATAAATTATTAACAATGTATCCGCATTTTATTGTTAATGATTATACATTATTAATTGTTATCATCATTGTTTATGCAAATCCAAACTTTACAGAAGCGTTTCCGCTGCATTTTAATTGTATCTATAAACAGGACGTTTAATATTGTATTAAACAAAATCTCTCAAACGGTGCGTACTGTCGGAAATCGCCGAAATAGTTTTCTCCATTCCTCTTGAAAATCAAAGTCTAAATAAATTTTACCCTACAGTATCGATTCAAATTTTTATGTGGGCAACCACGTTCTATATTTAAAAATACTGTCTGTTAACTCATACTATATATAATTTATCGTTACCGATAAATTCTTCCACATTATTTAAATAATAAAAAAGGACAATAATTTAACTATTTCGCTTTTGAAAAATCGGATTTATCAAAATTTGATATTAATTATTTTTAACTAATCGATATATAGAAATAGAAAAATAATTGTTAAAAATTTCACATGTAACGAGATTCTACTTACTTGATTATATTTGGCCAGCTTCCTGGCATACTCAATGGCACAGGCTTCCGAGTGGCTCCTCGTGAGGTTACTGTCGAACTCCGGCTCGGCATTCTCGCCGCAATCGAGGGACGAGCTCCTGACTGCCCTCTCCAGCTCGGCGAGCTTCTGCCTCTCGTTGAGAATTTTGAGCTTCTTGACAAACGGCAGACCACAGTACTCCGGCGAGAGGTCGTCGACAGAGGCGTACATCTTGGTCTGCTGCAGCTTCCTGGTTGGCGGGCTTTTCTGCGGCGATTCGTTCTTGGCGGTCAGCGACGCGTTTTTCAACGTGGTCCAGGGCTTCTTGGTCACCTTGACCACGCGCATCTCAACCTGCGAGGTCACGGTGGTCGCGGCGACACTCTGACCACCCGAGGACGACTGCTCGTCCGACTGCGTGCTCGTCTCCTCGGGAATGGTGTTTCTAGGGATCAGGGACTCCTTGATGGGCATCTCCCTTTCCACTTGCGTGGTCTCCTGCTCGTTCTTTGCCTTCAACAGGAGTATCCTCTGCAGGAACGGTAGGTTTGGATTCGTGGGGTTCAAGGCCTCTGTAACTGGCGGCGCGTGCGGCTCCGCCGCATGGCTCGGCGTATCCGTCAGGTTACGCCGTTCATCCCTCTCCTCTTTTTCCTTCAACAGCCTGAGCCTAGACAGCAGCGGAAGACCGGCGCCCAGCGGTGACACTGGCTGTTCTTGGTTATTGGGCAAAGACAGGTCCTGGCCGTCGTCGATCTTCTGCTGCCGTTTCAGGACTGGCGCCTTCGGCGCCAGTGGCTGAAGCTCCAGGCTCTCCTCAAGCCGAGTGTTGCTGCGCCTGCTCTTCCGTAAGACGTTCTTCAGGCCCTTCACGTCGCTCTTCAGCTTGTCAACGATCCTCTTGCCGGTGCTGTTGTCGGACGAATCGTGACCGGGGGACGTTGGCCGGCGCCACGCCCGAGCTACCCTCTGCGCTTCCATCAGCCGCTTTCGGCCGAGGTTCTGCAGGATCTCCTGCGCTTCCGGATAGTCCTTCATCGCTGCCAGCACGTCCTCCCGCGAGAGGCTAAACAGCTCGGAGTAACCCACCGAACGAACGTCGGCTGTGCGTCTGAAAGTTTTCCAAGTACAGTTTTTCGTTCTAAGATTTTAACTCTCTTAGTTAAGGCAAAATTGAGAACGCGCATAAAACTTTGTGGCTACAATTTGCATCATTCGTGAAATGTTAACATTTTGCTAAATCATAAGTTAATTCTTCAGAAATACTTCTCGTCGTGCTCCCGAAATAGCTCTTTTCTGGAATTTGTTACATTTGTGCGGAGGCGAATCTTTTCTGCTGTTTTCCCAATTGTAATGGTACCGGCTCGACTTCGCGTTACGCGAAATGAGAAGTAGATCCATTACGGATCCCACCCGGAGTAGATTCCTGATCGCACTCCGGGAAGGAGCCGGAAGAATTTTACTCACTTATTCAGTCCGTCCAGATTGAGTATACCAATCTCGCCGAAGAAGTCCCCGGCCTTCATTGTCGTGAGGACTCTACCAGTTTCGCTGATCACCTCTAGAATACCGTCGGCTATTATGAACATCTCACGGGCGACCTCGCCCTTCCGACATATCGAATCGCCGGGGGTGAAAATATAGGCTTTCATCTTCAGGACGAGATCGTGCAGAAATTCCGGCTGACACTCCTGCAAGATAGTACCGACGATTTGTCAAAGAAATCGTACACGATGTTTCAACAAAATTACAAGCAAATTCTTAGAGCGCATCAAGCGCGACTTGTCAAATTCTCTTGCGATTAATGCATGAGAGAAGTGAATTAACAAAAATCTCGCAGCACATACATAAATGATTTAATAGCGTTTATTTCTACGATATTAAATTGTTCGTTAAGTGGTCTTAAAAGCAATATTATATGTATACAATTCTACAGAAATAAATTCACCCTTCGGAAAATTAATTTATCTCTATCTCCTTAGCATTTTTCCGGCGTTTCAAAATTTCCTCTGCGCAATAAAAGAGAGATTTCATTTCTAATAGGGACAGCCGTTCAGTTTTTATTACATTAGCTTTAGAGTTTGAGAGTGAAAATTTCGCTCGGCATTTCTAACTTCATAATCACCTTACAATTTAAAGCTTCTACCTGGTCTCTGTAAAAAAAGAGACAATTTATGAAGACTTAACGCGTATTAAACATTAGCCTCGAGTCTTTATCGCATTTTCTGCCTCGCGAATATATCCATGTAATTTTTATCTTTGCTTTCATAAATCTTTCATTAATCATGCAAAAAGCTCTTATCTCTTTCAATTAAATTAATGACAAGTAGCTTTTCCAAGAAATATGTATTTATTAACTATGTTTTTCTATCAGACTCCGAAACATCGCGTGAATTATTCAAGTTTTAAAGTACCAAGTAGAAAAGTGAGATTTGAGATATAGAAAAGTTATCGACTTTAATAAAAAAAAATTTTTTAAAACGAAATTACAGGAAATTAAATTGATACAAACTAGTGTTAAAAGTATGATGCTACCTGATTTTACATATCGATATATTAATAAGGTGTCACATAATAAAATGCCATATAATACATTAATTTATATTCTACGAATGGCATTAACGTCTTTTCGACTGGACCATTTAACGGATGAATTGGATCATCTACCACGCCTATTCCATGTTGTCCAGCCATGTCATGCCATTCGTCTTATTCTTTAAGTCGCAGATTCATGGATTTACAGGTCTATACTAATTCATTTCAGTATATTTACATTTCCACCTACCACTGATATAAACTCGTACAAATGCATGCACGATTTCTTTATAGCATCTAATCCTTCATAACGCTTTCACGCGACATGTTTATGTAATTTAAGTTATGATCAATCCGGAGACAAGGAGCGGAGCGAGAAGAAAAAGATAGACCGACGTTTGCGAGATTACGACGGAACCTTTAGTCACATTTTGCTCTTTTGCGGCCCTTGACGGTCGTGAGACGACAGTCGTAATTCTTCGTGAGATACGATTCCTTTCCCGGCCACCTTGTCGGTTCTCGGAGACCTCTGCTAATAGAGTCGATCCAGCTCGATCTTCCGCTGCGATATTTCATTCAATCGACAGCGCACACCATCGACCAGTGACGCGTTTTACACATCGCCCTGCTTTGATTTGTGACGAGAACACGACCGGATATCTCGAGGCTGTTATCCTCGATCATCGATGCCGTCTGACTTTATTCAGCCGATCTACAATGGGCTTCGTTAAAATGCGTCACGGGGGACGCGTATATTGGCGCAAGCACAACGACCACGTGGAAAAAAATACAGGGTGTCTGAATTGATGGCGCAGATTGGCGTATTCTTCGCGACCAGTTTGAAGTCGATTCTTCCATGGTGAGGGTATTTACAATTTTTCAGTTACAAACGATGAGACGCGAAAGAGTTGGGGAGGAACAAATGCAATGTCATATTTTATTGATAACGAAAGTTTTAGATAGAAATTTGTCTCGGATAAAGAGAAATATTTATAGGGGCAACCTTCTTTCAACAACACGGTATCAGAAGTTTCGTTTGAGATCGAGACACTTAATGCCGGCAGTTACGAATTTATAAAGAGAAACGTACAATCAATTTTCCATTAGGGACGAATCTTGCATGAATGTATTTCATGAATGTATTAAGTAAAAAGTTAAATTTTAGTATATAAAAGTAAGAACAAAATCATTTGGTCCAGAGAACACAACAGAAAAATAGATTTAGTTGAGATAATTAAATGTTTTTTTTACATAAAACAAGATATTTGGTAACTGTAAAAAATTACTTCAACTAAACTGTTTTGTTGAAGGCACAAAATTATTTTTCCTTGTGTGCAATACCAATTTAATACCCAGATACATAAGGAGTTTTAAGAGATTGCAGTATCTATTTTTTTATGTTGTTTAGCGGCACATTATTTTTCAGAGAGACCTATAGAACGAGCGGGACCAATTCTAAACAGTATTTTTCAAGAGCAACAAATTATTATACTATTGTTATTGCATTTTCGTTTACGCATACATAATGTTCCGCAAACTTGGTCTTCCTTTAGATATATTAGATATGTTAATTCAAACCTTCGATCAAATCTTGTTTTCTTCTTTTAGATAATCTCAAATTAAAGGGAATTTTAAATTTTGATACTAATACATATGTCGATTAGTTAATTTAAAATGATCAAAGTCATTCTCTTCCGTTAATATTTTGTGAAATTTATTAGAGGATTATGCACGTACGAGGACTAAAACCCTATACGTTCCCCGGCGTAATATTCGATGGCCATCGTAGGAAAGCCGGGGTTGCATGTCGCCACGGGTTGGTTATCATAACTTTAATAACTCGACCGTTACGTGCACTGTGAGTGACCGAAGTCACTCTTGCGCGAAAAGCATTTTCAGTAAGTTGTGTATGCAGTCACGGTCGCTCGTGACGGTCTTGTGAAAATGCGCTCGCTAGTCGTCCCTCTTGCTTGAAAGAAAAATATATTTCTGTGTATGATATACATACATATATGATCCGTTTACATTACTGCGTATCATATATACATATATTATTACATTAAAATGTACTTTTTCGCGCGGATAGTTTCACCGGCATCAAATATCGTAGCCAATAATGCACAGGAGATCGACGAAATTGATTATTCGAGATACACGTGTAATCCTGAAAAAAATATGAAAGTGTATATTCGCCCCTTTTTTTACATCTGACGTGTCTATGAAGTAATTAATCAGCAGCCGTTTTTAGCGCGTTCTGTAAGTTTGGGGTGCAATGGGCAAATGAATCAATGAACGGTGATTACGAGGCATCGCCGAGGGTGGTCCAGAAATGTTCCTGTTGAAGTGGGCCGAGCACGGCCGCAATTAAAAGTGGCACACAGACTCGCCAATTACAGGCGATCGTAATAGCACCTCGCGAAAATCTCTCTCTCTCTCCCCCCCCCCCTTCCTCTCTGTCGCGCCGTCACTGCACCCTTATAATTCCCTTTCCGAGGCGAATGCGGAAGGAATGGGTGAAATAAAAGGGATCTGGTGGATTACGCGGACCGGATCACCCGGCCACTTTAAGCTTGCGACTCGAGATCTCACCGATCTAGATTCGCCGCACCGTGAACTTCATTATCTTCGCAGTACGATGTATATCGTACTCGTGCTCCCAACCGGAATAAATATGAGCCAGCGTTAGCATCGGAAGGCGACGACCGAAATACTCCCGGACGTAAATGAAAAAGTTGACGGAAAAAGGAACGGCGAGAACTCCTGCCTGTTGAAAACGTATTATTAACTTTTATGCGATTGCACTGTGTCGTGTTTACAATCATCTTTTCTATTCGCGTTTCTGCAGCGTTACTTAAACGCGGCGAGGCGAATGCTCGAACAGAACGTTGGTAATTGATCTAGCGTGTAAGCATCGGGGTTACATTTACTCATAGATTGGCGGCGATCGTTTGTCTGAAAAAAATATATCACAGACGCGTAATCTAATCGGCGGAGAAAGCTGGCGTAAATTGCGTCCAGTTTGAAGCTCGGAATTTCAGCTTTTTCAATCTAGATTTGACGAACGAACTTCATTATCTCTACCATGCGCGGGCTCTTTCAAATACACACGTTCAATTCGTAGGTAATTCTAACGACGATGATTTCGGCCTGCATGCAGGCAGCTATTTTAATCCCGGCCGACCGATCCAATATCTAAATTTTTTATTCGGAGGAGGGAGCGATATTCAATTAATAATTGACGTCAAATATTGATCCGAGCTTTTATATCTGACTTTTTTTTCAGTCGTTTTCGCTGGTTTGATTTTTGGAAACTCAATAAAACAAATTATATGGGAAGTCAAATATCGTCACGTCCTATTTTACATTTCTGACTTTGAACTTCTTGATTTATTTAGTCGATATTTCTCCTCGTAAGTTTTCCGTAAGACGCGGTGCCCTTTTTCCGCTTCTCATTTTGCACCATTCTCTCATTTTTTTTAGCTTTTATAGATTAAAAGCTAAATGGTCCATGACGTACTTCGTCAAACTTCACGAACTTGGTACACTCATAACCGTAAATTAGAAAACTACTCGTAAAGAACATTTGAGGAAAATGATAAATGGTTTCGTTTATTGTCAGGCAAATCAATATTTTCACACACCGCAAGGTGGCTTAGATTAAGAAACTAATCAATTAGCTTTATTTTCCTTTCAATTGTTACGTTAACGCAATGCTAATAAATTCATATGCTATCCACATTACACGTAAATATTGTATCTTCATTTAAATTTATACTTTGTTATATTCTCAGTAGTAATGGCTTCCGGATTTTTTTATATTCTTTTTAGTAGACAAAATTTTCGTAGCTTAACGCTTGATTGAATCAAATATACGAGTCGGTATTTTCTGCTTTTCGTTTTTTTTCGGTTTTAATTTCGCTTTTCGAAAATATCGAAAATAATTTTTGAACTCCTTTTTCCAAGGTGCGATACTATCGGACGTATTGTCTACGGAAAGTTATGAAAAAGACCAGGTCTGATAGGACACTTTAAGCGTGCTATTGTGAAGCAAGTTGTTTCAAATGAATGAAGGGATCGAGGGAGAAAATAGAGTGGAGGACCGGATGCAGCTGGAAATGAAACAATTTTTGTCCTCGTGTACCAGTGCAGGGACCAA